GGGGGGGGGGGGGGGGGGGGGGGGGGGGGGGGCGCTTATAACCGGGGTGGGCTTTATTAAACGTGGGATTTTACCGTATGGTGTTACTTAACCAAAGACAGCATAAAGGTACGAATACCACTCTACCTGAGGAAGACCGCCATTTACCGCTTTTCCATCATTGTCAAAATACGGAAACAAACCCAGTTGCTTATTGTAAAATATGACGATGTACTCGCCACGCCATGTCTGGTCAGGATTTACTACGAAGTCGAAAGCACTGAAATCTAGAGTGACGTTCCAATTGGACTTGCACCTGTCCGTTGGAGTATTCCACACGATAATGAAAGGTCTGTTGGGTAAAGGAGGTCCTTCGACGCGGCTGCAAGCGCACGGCAACGCAGTTAAGAAGAGAGCGACCACGGAAAGAAATCCCTTCATGCTGGACGCCAGCTAATTTCTGTCACGCACGTCCTACATTGACATGTCACATGCTAATCACGCGACCGCCGGGGTGCTTTTGTGACTTGCCTCGAGCTGACGCGGTTAGTAGGCGACTTAGTAGGCCCGATTACCAGCCGCTGTTCGGGCCGAGCGTAGGAAGGTTTCAGGAGATCAACTTCCGAAGGAATCAAGGTAATTGGTAACTATGGTGAAGGTAAGTATCTCACAGTACTTCATATGTGATATACCGAATATACCGATATATGTCTCATAAATAAATTTGGTGACATACGGCTGACTGATAATTTGAGGATTCTCGCAGGCACACCCCGTCCCAGTGCCTTCTAAGATGGCAGAGATGTCGGCCGGATAGATCTGCTGGACGGAACGGAACCATTTGTCCGTCAATCGCGATGTTTATTGTTGGTTTAACTGGTGGAATAGCGACTGGTAAAAGCACAGTTTCTAGGATATTTAAGGACTTGGGATGTCCTGTCGTTGATGCTGATGAAATAGCTCGGGAAGGTAAGTCCAACCTTGTACATGTACGGCATGTACTGATGTAGAGTCCACGCCCGATTCAGTTTTTCTTTCTTCTTGACACCATTAGGTGTCTCCTGCAACTGTGAAAACCGTTCTCATGACTCAGTGGGGAGGAACGTGTGACAATTTCGTTCCTCGAACCTTCATACCTTCCTTCGCAAGCTTGACGAAATGAGTGATTCTCGTGGTTCCTTATGTAATTGCGACTCCAGCTTCTTGAGTGCTATTTTAAATCATTCCAGTTAAGTTCAGGTCATCTTAGAAATCAGTCGAATGTATTTTAGATTATTAAATCATTTTAGGTCATATTAGATCATTTTAGATTTATTTTAGATATATTCTAGATCATTTTAGGTCATTTTAGATCATTCCTTGTTTAAGTAACTACGACTGGTCATTAAGGTAATTAAATGGGTGTGAGGTTGATGAAAGTGTGTGACAGCTGTCAATCTGTCACATACATGCAATGTAGTGTGATCTGCAAGCTACATGTACATGTCCATCTATAGGCATTATTGTCAAACTGAAGTCCTCCTATGGGTTTTAGAAAATAAGGGAATGTGGTGATTTATTTGAAGGGAACAAGGGAAGTTTTTCTGTTATTGTAGGTGGCACAATCTGTTCTGTTCATAGTGTAGAGGTCCTCACAAAGAGGTACTTGCTCTCTTGATGATGATCCCTTCAAAATTTCTCCTTTTCTCCCTTGGCTCAATTGTTTCACAATTATAGTTGGTAGGAGATATCTTGATTTATTAACATGCATGCAGACATCTACTATACGGACTGACCCTAAGTCAGTAAATAATTTATTTATTTTTCTCCTTTCTCTAAAATCACTTAATATTACAATATTGGTGACTTTTCCAAACACACATCGTGTGTGCAGTACTATGACCAAGGTCAAAGATAGGAAAGTCTGGACCATGCTGAGAATGAATCAGATTGCAGGATTCGTTACGGTGCCCTCATAGGAAAAATAAAACAGGATATTGAGTCAAGAGGGAAAATTGTTAAATGTTGCAGCTGGACTTAATGGAATGTAAGATCTTTGAGCCAAAACTTAATGGGTTGTGGGACACTCATACCCCCCTAATTGGGCCTCATCATTTTTCAGATAATTATGCACATAAAGTACATGTAGTATCTCACATTTTTCATGTCTAATCTCCATTCCCCCAAGATTTTAATTTGCCAAAGCAAGACTCATCAAGCAGGGCTGCCCATACTATGTAAGGGCAGTAACTCACAACACCTGCTACGGCTGAGTATGTTTAATAGGACCTTGATGTTACTGGTGAACTGGACTATTGTTTAATACAATTCACCCATAACGGCCGGGGTGTGAAAATCAAGGCTACAGGTGCATCAAAACTTAATGAGAGCCCTGTCAAATATGAACAAAGGTCATCAAAAAGCCTTGAATAATTTTGTGTGTTCTGTGGTGTAAATCGCTGTAATCACTGAGCCTTCCTACATTGTAGTTGTCAAGCCCTACCAGCCAGCATGGAAGGCTTTAGTGCAGAATTTTGGAAGACATATATTACTTCCTAATGAGGAGGTTGACAGAGAGAAACTGGGGAAGATTGTGTTTGGAGATGATGCTAAAAGACGTGTGTTGAACAAGTGCACTCATCCTGCTATTTACAGTTCAATTTGGTGGGCATTGTTGAAGTATTTTGTTAAAGGTGAGTTTTGTACGAATAAAGCAATATAATTATATTAATCAAATTGGTCTTACACAGTATAATTTAGGATGTTGAAACTCAGGCAAATGTCCATTGCACTAAAGTGGTATCCATGGCAATCCTGCAAGCTTGGATGTTGCTTGTTGCATTTTGTGGACATATGGAAATTAGTTATAATTTAGATGTAGCACATAAAGGTTTATAAGAAGTTTTGGACACTACCAAACTTTCTTTTAAGGTCACATCCTGTAACTCCTGCCCATCATTTTTTGATTTTTACTTGAAATTAAGTGTTGTACTACATTCTAAACACCTTAGATGTAATATACTGTTTAACTGTTCAGTGGGGTCCAACATTTTTCAATCCCAGTTATTCAATACTTTCTTTGAATAATAAGGGTGGTTCAAAACTCAGTTGTTCAAACAATTGGACTTTCACTCCATGTTAGAAGCAAACGTCTCACTCATACAGTAGATGTGTGAAAAGGTCTCCTGCAGTATTTGATGTTTCAGAAACCAGAAGAAAAGGATTTACTAGTACCATGCTATTTTTTTTCTAAATATTCTGCAGGTGAAAAGTTTGTCATTCTGGATTTACCACTTTTGTATGAGTCTGGAGTTTCATTGTTTCTGTTGAAAGATGTTATTGTAGTATACTGGTAAGGAAGAACCATCTTTTACTTATAAAAGGGTAATTACAAAATAGAACTTGAGCACTACATATTGCTATGTAAATTACTGCGTATTACACAGTGCATGTAGAATTTTACATTTGAGCAACAAGTTCAGGGGGCTCAGTAGAAGGTGGCACCAGATGGATTTTCACCTTTTGTCACTTGAGGCAAAAGTCACTGCCTGTTCTTGCTGGAAAATTACATAGTTTAAATTAACTTCAAGTTGTTTTTTTTTTTAGAAATGAGGGTTTTCAATTTTTTTTTTTCATTTTTCACTCCTTCAGATGATATTTATATACAGGATATTTATTCCCCCTCCCCCACTCTACTGCTCAGAGCTACTCTTGTATGTGGACATGATTATGTAGCATATGTTCTTTGTTGCTATAGTGACCGAGACACTCAGCTGCAGCGTTTGATGGAAAGGAATAACTTCACACAAAGTGATGCTGAATTGAGAATAAATGCTCAGATGTCACTGGACGAGAAGTGCAAGAGGGCTTCTTACATTATCAACAATTCCTCCAATCGAGAGACAACAGAAAAGCAAGCGAAGAGACTGTATGAAACTTTCACTCGATCATTCGCCTACCTCCCACTTCGTGTCTTTGTTTTGTTTGTTCTCTTATTAATAGCATGGTTACTCATTTGCCTAATGAGGCTAGTCAGCTGGTAGTTATCGTAAGGGAGTTTCAAAGGCCTGGAGGGGGGGGGGGGGGG